TATAAGCCCTTATCGTAACACTTTCAGATCCCTTTTAAAACTGTGTGCATGCCCGTAGACAGTCTAAAATCCAGGGGCCCCTAAACGCCCTGGTCGAAACCCTCAAGACGTTTCAACGGCAAGAGAACTTTTTCGAGCCCCTAAGCCCCGAAACCCTAACCCCTAGCCCTCTGAGCCCTAAACCCTAACCCATTCTCTGTCCCAGGCATTCGACGCTGACTGAAGGGCTGCACTTGCTGCCCTACGAAACAGATGCTCCGACACCCCTAAACCCAAGAGCCCTTCTGATTGAATTAAACCGAAGCCCCAAACCCCCAAAAGGTCCCATTCTCTTTGAACCCTAAACCCACAAACCCAAAGCTCTAAACCCCTAGAGCACTCAACCACCTAACTCCCGGTGGCCTCTGGCAAAGCAGGCCGAAGACGCGGCAGTCGTAGCCAAGCCCGGAGGGGGACACAAGCTGTGAGATGAGCCGAGGAAGGAGCGCCTTCACCTCAGTTTGAAGGGTCTAGAATGTTCGTATAGTCTTTAGGGCACTTTAGGATTTGAGGCGGTTCGGGGAGTTTAGGATTTAGGGTTTAGGATGTACGATTCTTGACACTCGCTCTCGGACTCAAGCCGGTCGCGAATTGAGGTACAGAACAACCAAGCCAACACCAAGCAGACACCCAGTATCAAACTACCTCATTGACAGCCAACGAGCAACGGATAAACCCTAAACCCTCTGAGTCCTGACCCCTTGCAGCTAGATCGAATCCAAAAGCAACCCAGTCCCCAGTTGGTCCGCTGCTGAGCTGGTGATGCACATCCCACTTCTGCTCAGAGGAGCTCGCGATAGGAAACGTTGCAAAAGGATTTAGGGTTTACCTAGACCCTAACAGAACCCGACCTTCTTAGGCCTCTCTGCTATGATTTCCTTATAAGTCCGAAAAAGGGAGGTTCTTTAGGGTCCAGGTCGGATCTAGGCTTTTTTCATTGCGGGCTGAGGATTCGGCTTTATTTGTGCACAGTAGCGCCGCATTTTTCCAAAAAATGTGTTTAAAGCATGTGAAAAAATATTAGTAGGTAAGATCCTCTTAAGCCCAAAGAGAGCAAATATAGAAGGTCCCAAAGCCCTACCTAGTTTTTTGTTTGTTGCAGGCCCTTCTCCAACTGCATGCAGCAACCGAAAATTCCCTACACCCTAAAGCCCTAAAATCCTGAACCCTAAACCAAGATGACGGTTTAGGAGTTATCAAAATTCAATACGATTGTGTTGGGAGCACATGAGAACCTGTGCGGTAAGGCTCTTTTTGTGTGTGCGTACAGTGTGCGGTGGGTTGTCTGTGCATGTGCGTGCGGCGCGGGCGGTGCGTGCGTACAGCGTGCGGTGGGTTGTCTGTGCATGTGCGTGCGGCGCGGGCGGTGCGTGCGTACAGCGTGCGGTGGGTTGTCTGCGGTGTGCGCGGTTTGCGCGTGCAGTGTGCTGGGTTGTGCATGCAACGCGCGGACGTGTACGTGCGGAGTGTGCGGCGTGTATGCGCTGCCCACATTTGAATCATCATGAAACATGGCTGAAGCCTGCAGGGTCAGCGCCAATCATATTGGTCATTGAATATTAAAGCCGATAACAAACCATGGTAACCCTTCGGACTCTTCTGCTTTCGACTCTTTTCGACTAATCATGGTCTTCTGGTTTTAATTTTTTTCATGTGGTATGCCACTGAAACGACAGCGGGAGACCCTTATTGACTCTTACATGCACAAGATCACAAGACCATCATTTTCCCCCAAGTTTTAAGCTTCAGGTTGCAAGTTGCAACCAATCGTCCAGAAGAACACATAGACGCAATGATATAATAATGAATATTGTCATAAAAAAAAATATCCTGCCACTGTCACTAAACATATGTGTGCCGAACGTCAAATGCAATAAGCAACACCTGCCAGTTTGTCACACTGTCCGCGATCGATGTCCTGATTGTTGGATTGCTGGAGATTGGAGACACAACTATTTATTCTTAAGGTTCCTAAGGGAAACCGGAAAACACAACAACATATATCAGTGGTTTGCAAATTACACGTTGTGGACATGCGTAGCCAAGAAGAGGAACACTACACTAACACACTAGTTACTAGCAACTAGTAACCGTAGCGGTAGTACACTAATGCATCATAGCACTATAGCGCTTGATAAATCCATAATGTTCAATGTTCATTACAATTCAGAACACACACATTCATATTATATGCCCTGCTAATGCTGCTACTGCTGCTGCTGCTACTGCTAATACTATAAGACGTTCTGAGCATTCTGTATATGTATGTCACAAAAGTAGTATACTAGGCAAGTGTACTGAACGCACCGCAAGCACGGACTGCTTACCCAACACAGTTTCTGTTGTTGCATCATCCAAACAAATTCTAATGGATTTAGTGCGGTCTGTCATAGTACTTGTTCTCTTGGCTCGGCGCTAAAGTTGAAACCTGCGTGGTGGCTAGTGTGTTTTTCTTGTTTAAGTACAATACGTCCATGACTGGACATGAGCATTGTTTTCGGTTGGTGTTTCTGATAAATTGCTGTGGTTGTGGACGTTGACACTTCAAGGGAGGATGAATCGGTTGAGTTGATTTGTTGAAAGGACGTATACTAATCTAGACTTCATTTGTTGAAGCAATTTGGTGCAGGTTCGTCAGCCTCCATTGTTCCAAATGCCACATGCCACATACTGTTTGAAAGTTTCAGTTTCAACTTCAAATGTGTTGCAAATAGATGGTGGGTTTGAATATGCATTACTGCTGCGCAGCAGAGGTGTAGGAACTGTACGGACGCAATGTGTAAAATTGAATCTCAGCTCCGTATGCGAGCCTTGCATCTGTACTACACGAGCCCCTGTAACATGCATGTAAGCACTGCGCACGTCCACCGCGCGCACTGCGCGCGCGCGCTGCGCACGCGCACTGCGCGCACCGACGGCCCACTGTACGCATTTTCAAAATTGGTATTGTTTTTTTAAAATTGGTGTTGTTTTTTTTAAAATTGGTGTTGTTTTTTTTTAAATTGGTGTTGTTTTTTTTCCGCGCAGTGGGCACGCGCAGTGCGCGCGCGGTGCGCGCGCACTGCGCGCGTAGGGTGTGCGCGCGCGTCTTGCACGTCCAAAACCCTAGACCTAGACCCCAAACCCTAAACCTTAAGCCGTAAACCGTCAGCTGCCTTCCGTAAACATTTTAAATTTTGAACATTTTTCCAAATTGGTATTATGTGTTTTTTTGTGTTTTTTAGTTAGTTTTTAATCTAAAATCTAAAATCTAAAAGCTTCAATTTGTCTAATGTTGTTGTTTTTGTTTAGCACCCAGTCCGGAGTTGTGATCTACCATCGATTATCCAGATTATCCACATACCCATGATCCTAGGTCCTAGATTCTAGATACTAGACACATTGGACGCCTGAGGAGCACTGCACGAGGCTCTAACTCTAGCTATACTATCGTCTCTAGAGTCAAGAACCCAAACCCTGAGCCCCAACAGGTGATAGACCCGCAACTCATACATGACAAAAACTAAAACCACACTAGACTAAGACTAAGACTAATACCAAACTAAGACGACCGAGACTACCATCTGTGTGGTCGTGCCATCTTGGTCTGGCATGTCTGACAGTTGACAGATTCACACTGAGACGACATACGCAAACGCATACACAGTGTAGTCAAGTCACGGTAGTCCGGACTATTGAATGTATATACGTTCCCAGGTTCATCATCGTCCATCGCTCGCCATGGCAACCAGGAAACAGGACTCAAGACGAGTTAAGTGCCAGCCGCCCACGGCCGTGGCCTCATGGCCCTCAGGGCCTATGGTCTCTGGCCTCCGGAGACTTTAGTCTCAGAGATAAGAGTCCATGTCTCCGAGTCGACAGGGTCGAGAGTGATTGTTCAAGGTCTAGGTCATTCAAGGTATTATCGTGTACAGCAGTTCACGCCTCTGAGGGGGGTGCCTTGTGTCGAGGGGAGAAATCTATGTTGACTCAGTTAACTCATGGCGATTACAGTTGACTGAACGGGGCTGAAGGGTCAACATTCGAGAGTCTTCAAGAGCTTGGCGCCTAGTCGGTGTCAATAGGGCAATAGCCAATACTCGATCTAAATACTAAACATTCACTGAGGTTCATGAAGCACTGATCGACGGGTTGTGAGTTATGAGTCATGATTTTTAAAGATATGACCCAGTGAACCAGCTTTTCTATACTTACAGATCTATACCATATGAATCATATAACATACACCATATATCATATATCATATATCATATATCATATATCATGTATCATATATCATATATCATATATCATACATCATGTATCATAGACCATATAGGTATACAGTTATACAGAATGTACATTGTATCAAACAATTTATCATGGTATGGTTAGTCGTCAGTGGAGCCACATATTCCCGCGTGTCATGGAGCAGTGCCTCAAACTCTCACGCAACACAAGAGCTTCGTGAACGAACACTCTGAAGCATCTGCGTATGCTGTACACACCCCCAACCGCGCGCGCGCACACTGTACGCACGCCCCGCGCGCGCGCGCGCACACTGTACGCACGCCCCGCGCGTGCTGCACGTATACACGCGCGCACTGCGCGTATACGCACGTGCATTTGCATGTTCGCAGCACAAGCACTGTACGCACATACCGCGTGCATTGGTTTGACAAGCTAAGACATCACTTGCACAGCCACATGGCTGCATACGTGGCACCCCTCCATGGCCTTATACCCACAATCGTATTGAATTTTGATAAGTTTAGGAGACTTGTTTCGGTTAAACCTGGCTGGGCGTCAGCATAGGCTTGTGAACCCTCACTGTTTAGGGTTTAGGGTAGGAACCTGATTAAGAAACACGGGGCGTATAACCCCAAATCGTAGGATTCATATAAGCAACCCTAATAATGGCCAAGGTTTCTTAATCAGGTTCCTACATCAGCCCTGAACCCTGCCAAACTGAAGCATGCGGCTTACGGTTTGTGGCTTTGGTTTCTCTGCCTCCAAGTTGCATGGTTCAGCACGACCACCAACTTCGACAAATGGTCTGAGAAGTTGGGTAGGAGGAGCAACACCAGACCACCTTACTGAGCCAGCTTCTCCCAAGAGCTTAAGGTTCACCTTGAGGATGCTTTATGACTAGGGGTTACAGTACCCCCAAAACAGATTAAAGACTGCTGACTCTACTACATGTACCTGCGCTTTTGGGTGCATACAGGGATCATAATATAAAAAAAGTGTAAAGATGACTCGCTCTACTACAAGCCGCGGGTGTGAAAGTTGTTGCAAGCTGAGTTCAGCCAGGGGAAGACGTCGCCGGAGATCGTCTTCAGGATCCGGGAGGCGCTGCTATCAAGCCTCAGCATTCAGTGTTTTTTGATGTGATTAAGGGTTCAAGGTTACGGGCTACAGGGTTTTGGATTTCTGTTTTACTTTTGGGTTTCATGGTTCGGGGTTCAGGGGCATATAGGGTGTTCATGTCTGAGTTCACAAGTTTAGGGCTTAGATCTTAGGGTTACAGGGCAATGGGGCTTAGGCTTCCGTTATCCCCTTCCTCAGGTACACAAGATGCCCGGCCATCTGCAACATCAGGTATATTCCTAGATAAATTGAAGGATGCTGGGACCTCATATGAACAGGTATATAGGGGTAGTGAACACGAAAGAACGGCACCATATTGTGCTGGAGATCTGCTGCGAGCGCTTGCCTGGACCCTGCCGGACGTAGGATGGGGTGTGGGGTTTTGGGCCGGCGTTTAGGGTTTAAGGCGACAAAGCTTATGGGTACGGCTTGCATGTGGCGAAACCTACCAGTCTTTGAGCAATATGTTGACATGCTTGCGCACTGTTACGCAATCAACAAGGAACTTCCGCGATGATAGTCGAGCCCACGTGTTGTTAGTGATTCCGCCTCGCCAGTAGCAAGAACTAAGGCTTGCAGTATTGCACAGCATGTCGCAGAAAGTTACTATTAGAATAGGCCCATTATGCTATAATTAATTATAATAAGGAGCCCCCAAAAATAGGACAGGTAATTAATTGGGCCCCTGTAGTACTTGGCAAAGGCTCCATTCCTGAAGCAAGGATCGCTGCAGACCCGGCGATTGAAACGAAGCCACACGACGCCGAATCCTAAAACCGAAAACCTTAAACCCTAGACCCAAATCTGGAACCGCAGACTCCCTGTTCAGCAATCCCTTAACTCCAAATTCATTCTCGGGGCCTGAAAACATTGAATCCCAACACCAGATGCGCATAAGCCTCGAGTCTGGAATCGAAGCCAGAAGCCTTAACCCTAAATCCTAAACCCTAAATCCTAAACCCTAAATCCTAAACCCTAATTAAACCCTATACTCAACCCTAAACCCTAAATCCTGAACCCTTCATCCTCCCACTGCATCAAGGTCGCTGGCGAAGGTCTCTTTCCAAAAGATCCGCCAGCTTCTGCGTCGTAAGGCTGTGGTCATCAAGCCTCAGGTTCTTTCTTCTGGCTGTGCCGGCGACTACCCTGGAGAATTTCCCCTGCGACCCTTTTCCCCAAACCTTGGCCCCTGATTGGGGTACCTCTCTCTCTCTCTCTCTCTCTCTCTCACAGGCATTCGAAGCGTCAGGCCCAGACTGACCTACACCCCGAAACCCTGAACCCTAAACCAGGGGTCTTATTCGCCTTTGCGTCTTGGGACAGCGATGGGTCAGTTCCCAAAACAAGATTGCCCTCAGGCTCATTCAATCTCAAAGCAAAACAGCATGACAAGCAGAGTAATAGGGTTGGTGAATTGCGAGTGTCCCTTGTAAGACCTTCCTAACCACCTTCATACTTATACCTTGGACCTTGGCATACCATGCTACTCTATGCATGCCGGTAGTTGTCAGACTTATGGTCACTTTTTGGGTCCATATTATAGTACGGCACCTGATATTTAGGATACCCCAAAAAAGGGACCCTAATTTTTGACAACCACCCATGCATGTTTCACGTACGGTGTACAGCCATGAGGGCTTCCGGGTCCAGGAGAGCTTGACACTATGCTGCACAGTGCCCAGTGCGGCGTAAATGGTCAAGCGCAAGCCCGGGCCCTAAACCCTTCTGCTTCGAAGGTCACAACCTCACAGTAACCCTGACGCCTATAGGAGGCTTTAACAATTAGAAGCGGGTTTTGCGGGGCCAATATACTATACCTGTGATAAGGAACCCCCAAAATAGTTATTGGTAATTATTTAGGCCTCTACAGTACATGAGAGGTCTGAGGGGTCAACCAGGAGGAACACCACTATGGGGCGGGTGCGTGGGTTCTTCCCCCCGTCCGAACCTCGCGCTCGTTTTCGGCTTCAGCGTTTGGGACAGTTTCAGGCAAGCTTAGAAAACCCCAACCCTAAACCCTAAACACCGAAAGGCACTCGAGGAGCTGTTGCGTCAACCTGTCCCAGCCAGCCCTGGTACGGCTCGACTCATCATGCCTCGCTTGGTTTAGAGTTTAGGGTTTAGGGTTCTGGGTTTAGGGTTAGCATTTTCCTGACACTGGGGCAAAGTGCGACGGTGGTGGTTGGCTTTAACATCGCTGTGTGTTGCTTCCGGCTGGCTGCATTTTGAAGGTAAAGGGGCACCGAAGCAAACAAACACTACTCAATCGCATCTCGGTGTGCAGGAACATGTTCATGTGGAGGATGCGGCACAGCTCGTAGCGGATGTTGGCCGCGGAGGTCATGAATTGGTACACGTCGTCCTGTCTGCCAGCGAACCTAAACGCTGAACGTTACGTCCCGGTAAGCAACACCAGTTAACAATTCAAAACCCTAACACCACAAAAAGTTATTTAGGAGTTTCAGCAGCTGAGGCTGCCTGATGCAGACCGTATATTGGTGGATGTCAAAATTATGGTACCGTTGTGGGATCCCTACGATAATACGGCGACTACTGTTTGAGGTATCCAAGAATTGGACCCTAATTGTGACAGCTACGCATATGGGAGGACCCTGCCTGTGAGCAAAATCGAAACCAAAGTCCCGGAAAAGCAGTTGCAAGCTGAACTTTAACAAGTAAGCAGTACCTTGACCCCGAATAACCTATCTTTCTAAGGACTTGTGTAAAGAAACCGTATCAACTAAACTTTAAAAATGTACGTGGAGGTTCATGCGGAATTAGAAGTGAAGTATTAGGGGACTGATAACCCCACTTATAACTACCCATGAACCTCCAAGTAGTGAGCATCTCTGAAGCAGTGTTTTTTAACTTCGCACGATTTGTATAGGTACTTTCCATAAATCACAACCCCAGACGGTTCAATCTTGGCGTTGATCTTCCTCAAAAGAGCACAACCTCGAACCTACACACCGTAGCCCAAGCATGAACCGCCCTCAGAACTATGAAACCCGTGATCAAACTCCTAAAGTCCTAAAGCGGCAAACCGTCCTCTAGATCAGAACGGAGCCGTGCCAATCGCTCCAAAACCTCGGAGAACTTGTGCGTCTTCAGCTCCTTGCGGTGGGAGGGTTTAAGAAAGTAGCCTTTGGGATCTGTAGGGTATAGGGTTTGTAGGGCCTACTTGGAGGTTCATGGGTAGTTATAAGTGGGGTTAGTCCCCTAATATGGATTATGACTATAGTTACCCTACTTATGACCCCACTTATAACTACCCATGAACCTCCAAGCAGCGCCACATGCACGGGATCACGGTTTAGGGTTTAGGGTTTTGAGGCCCATGATTCCGAAAATTGAGCTGTAATTAAATATCCTTAAGCCCACGCATCTCAAGCACTCCAACCTCTAAAACTTCTTTTGCATCAGGACTTGTGCCTAAACCCCAACCCCCCCACCCCCGCCCAAATTGCTCTCCTTGTCCAGCTTGTCAGTGTCTTTGCGTGCCTTTTCCTCCTCCATCCTCGGCGCGCATCTTGCTGCTGGGCATGGATAGGCATACATATCAAGGTTTAGGGGTTTAGGGTTTGCGAGACTCTGAATCAGTCGCAGGTCTACCGCACTTAAAAGGCCATGGGACTTCGTGACTCGGCTAAAAAATACCCCCATAAATATAAAGGTGGCTGTGCCCAGATCTTTCAGACCGGCTTATAATATTACTGAAGTACATATATCTCACTAAGTGCCATGACTCATGACCCTCCAAGTTAATGTTCTAGCGCTAGCCGCTAGCCTACAGCGTAGAGAGACGAAGATGCAGAAATGATACCTGAGGTGCGCTGGTCTTGGCGAGGCTCGGCATCTGTATGTGCTACTACTATTCTTGAGACACTTCTATTGGACCGTGAAAAGACTGATTCCTCAGTTGAAAACCCCGATGTGGAAAAGGAACCGTTCGCCCCGTGCTTCACCACAGTCAGTATGTGCAGAAGCAAGAGTGGACACAAGAAAAGGACCCAGGACCCATGCTCTTGGCCTCTTCGTGCCACACCTGAAACACAAAACTCGATCAGATATGTGGATGCTAACAGACACCACAAATGGAACCCAGACGGGTCTGAGTGTCTGCTTCAAGAACTCATCGCGGACCGTGCTGAGGTACTCGTCGTCGGTGGAGGGTCTTCCCTTAAATTTGATCAGCAGCTCCGCCACATCCTCGAGGGGGATCAGGGCTTGACATGTATGGGTTCAAGGGTTTAGGGTCTTCGGGTTCGGAGTTGCAGAAACTTTCGTGAGTCTTTGAAGGAAAGCACATCGAGGCTGTATGCCTAGCTGCGACTGTAGGCGGGGTGTGCTCGGGGCTACGACATCCCCATAGCCAAAAAGCAAACTCTAGTTAGTTGAGACCCTGCACATTGGAGTGCAGCTGCGTGGCCTTGTGACCGTGCCGGATTGCATCATCCAGGGGAGTATGAAGAAATCTGTCCAAGGGATTCGGATCCACCTTACCCTCGCGCAGAAGGAAGGCGCATGTCTCCTGAGAGGTTCACGGTCAATGGTCTAAGGTTCAGGGTTCTGTGTTATCGGTAAACCCTAAACCCTCAGATAACACCCAAAATCCTAAACCCTGAACTTCCCCAAACCCCCCAAGACCGGGCTTTGGGTTAAGGGTTGCCTGTTTACGCTTAGTGGCTTGCGGGCCTTTGGTCTAGAAGCTTCAGCTGTGGAAGCTTGATCTCAGCCCGTCTTGTTCGTAAAAATGTACGTGCGACCTTGCTACTTGTTTATTTGCGATAAGGAGAAGAATAAGGATAATAAGAAACAACAATGGTAAATACTGCGATTGGTAGTATCATTACTACTGTACTTGTTATTGCATCTGTCCTAGATCAGCATTTGATGCACCAATGGTAGATCTACAGCACAGCTCACAGACGGGCAGTGTTTCGAGTGAGTACCTAGACCCTTCTATCGTTGACACGAGAAATTCAAGCATGAGCACGAAACCCTAAACAATTGAAATCAAAACAAGCAGGTTTCCAGATTGCCATTGGAGGATGCCAGGTGGAGAGCAGTGCGGTAGTCGTAATCCGCCATGCCAGCCTTTGCCATTCAGAAAGTTTAGAGTTCGGGGGTTCTATTAAAAGATCCCTAAGGGCGGTGAATTTGTTCCAGGGAGCAGAGAACGCAAAGACGAGAAGCGCCTCATGACTACTTCCTCGGGTGATTCCTAAGTATGGGGTAGGGCCGACAGGGTCTACGAAATAGGGAATGGGTACTCACAAGTTGCCCAGGCAACTATAATTTCGTTAGTTGCCTTCGGGAATCTCCTGAAGAGTACGCCGTATAACAAGGACCATGAAGGGATTTTAGTTCCCGCAACCCTCCCTGAGCCCTAGAATGTCTCCGTTTTAGTTCTGGCAGCAGACTGTTTTCCAGTTCCTGTAATGCTTGTGCTTAGTAGAAGAAAGATAAACCAAGCCGGTCACCAAATCCTACAGCCCAAAACCAATCCTGCAAGCCAAAAGCCCTAAGCCCTCTTATACCAAAAACCGTCAGCCCAAAACCGCGAACAAACTCTACCTTGACCTAAACCATTTACATCCCCGAAAACGAAAACTCTTATGGGAGTTGCCAAGAACAGGGGATCCCAATACAGCACCCTAAATCGTAGGATCCTCGTTATAAGGACCCCCAAAATGAGGTACCCCTAACTTTCAGAAACTCCCGTATCCTAAGCTGTTTCGATAACAAAAGCCCAGGTGGCCCTGACTCCAGCATCGATCATCTGCCGAAGCTTTCCCTGTGCTGCTAAAGATCGTTCTGAAGATGGGGCCTACGATAGGGGCCTTGATCATTAGAATAGGGTTTTGGGGCCCGGTATTCTATAATAAGATCAATTTGGGCCTTCAGCGCTGTGTAGTTTGAAAGTGCAGATGCGTAGGATGATTTATTTTTAGGGCTTATAAGGATTGAGAGTTCAAACGCTTCAGGGTGGCTTGTGTTGAATTGCGCGGATGGGCCCCTTGGTTGCCTGTGCTGGCAAGCACCGATAGGTTCTCCTCAACCCTGGTTTTGGGTTTGGGGTTTACAACTTATGGGCTTGGGGTTTAGGGGTTTGAGGTTATATAGTAGAAGACACAAAGTTGGAACATGGGTCAGGAGGATGAGTGCTAGGATCCCTTATACTTTACCTTAAGGGCATCAGGATAATGATGTTCCAACTTTCTGGCTTCTACAGTAGGGGCTTAGGGTTAGGGGATGAGAGTAAAGCTCATCATTCAGGGTTTGGGGCGACTCTCACTAGCCGACTCCTGACTTTTGCAGCGTGTTTCATTGAGCAACTGACTTAAAGCGACCAGAATAAGGATCTCTAGGCAGTCAAATTCTGGTACCTGACATTAAGTTCTGCGACCTCGAACCTTCCTAGAAGGTGTGCTGGAGGCACTGCAAGTATGTTGCTGGGTTGGTCTAGGGTGCACGAACCTGGTCACATATCGACAAAGAACCTGAACGCACTGTAGGGCATGGAAAGCAAACAACCTAAACCTCGCCAAGAGAAGAAACACCAAAGCACAAAAAAACAATATTTTTGCTTCAGTTACATTCAGGAACCTAACTAAGCAATAACGGGCCGAACCCAACGCTCACTCTTGGTCTGCCGTGCTCCGGATTGTAGGTCGGACACATGAGCACCTAAAGCCTTTGCGGCACAACTCTGACTACACATACAGTACCACGACGACGACGACTGGTACTTGGCATGGCCCCCACCACTTCTACAGGTACTGCTACCAGTTACTACACGCCGCTTCCACGGCTGCTGCGGCGGCAGCTGATGGTTCTGCTGCTGGCAATGTTGCTGCTGGCGCTTCCTGTTCCTACTCCTCTTCCTCCTGCTCCCGATCCATGTCCTAGTTCCACAGAGAGTTCTACTGCGATTGTCCGTACTTGTTGATAAGAATCTTGGTCAAGATGGTGATGGAAGTGTTGGCGATGGTGAGCAAAATGCTACGAAGCAAGTGGAGCTTGCCCTCGGTAAACAGAAGTATATATAAATATATAAATATAAATATAAATATATATATATATATATATATAGATAATATCGTTGTATGTATATACAGATCTTTAAACGGAAGAGTAATTAAGCACCTAGAAAAACAGACAGATAGATAGATAGGTTGATGCTAAGTGCTCGCGGCTGCGCTCTTGTGTGCTCCCCTCCAATGCAACCTGGCCAAAGCCCCGAAACACTGGTCGCCAAGATGCATGATCGTTCTCCGCAGCTGCCTGCAATCCATTACGGCACTACCGTTCTTCCGGATCGAGGAGACTCTATAGTGAACCCCAGAAGCTTGGAAACATGGATTTAGGATGATTTGTGATGGGATTCCCTCTGCTCTACCTTAAGGGCATGAGGATAATGCTGTTCCAAGTTTCTGGCTTCTACTGCAAGCCCTACTGTATCCACGAGTGAACCCAGCCTTACTGGGTTGGCCTTTAAACACCTTGAAAAATATTTATATATAGGGTCCCTTATAAACCCAAATAAGGAAAATAAAAATGTCCCAAAATCCAACCTAGCTTAGGCACCAAGCCCATGAAGATGGTGTGTTTTTTCCCCTCACTGGCCCAAAACCCAAGGACATAAAAGTTGAAACTTTCAGAATCGACTATCGTGTAAGAACTCCGCAGCATTGACAGGTTGAGATTGCATCCAATAAGTTCCGTACAATGTGATGCTCCGGGATAGTTGCAGGACTTAAAGCAAGTTCTACAGATTTGGGAACTCGTTCAGTCCTCGGCTTTCGGCAGAAGAGGGTTGAGGTTTGCAGTATCTTCTGGGCTGTCGGGATCAGGACTTACATAGAGTGTTTCAGCACCCACACTCGGACAAACCCTGGCGAGGATTCCAGTCCCTGGTATCGCACTTTAGCGGCCCCGTGCGCATTAGCTCAGGGAGAACATTAGCTGTAGCCATAATGCAGGACTTAGAGTGTTTCGGCGCTTCCAGGGTCGAGAGTTTGGCGGTTTTGGGGGACTTAGGCTCAGTGCTTGTAGGGCTTTTGGGTTCGGGATTTTGTTTTGCGGTTCGGATGTAATGCGTTGGCATGACAGACCTTCAAACACAGACTTTATGAGCCTGGCCCCCAGCGGTACACCAAACTGCTGATGCAAACAATAACGTCTATAAAAGGCAAAACATCAGGTCGCACCCATTTTGTAAACTCTCTCGGCTGCCTGCATGCGATGGCTACAGAGCAGAGGTTGAAAAGCGGCATAATATAGGGGCCCAGGTGTGTTCTCGGGTTTTCGCTGCGCATGAGGAGTTGAACCCTTTCTTACAATCCTTATCATGAATCATGCTCCTTTGGCTTCTAAGGGCAAACAACATGTACCGCACCAGACTTGGCCTTACACTTCCAGACCAATGGTTTCTACATATCGCATGCTACGTACATCGATACGTAGACTCTAGGACTCTACGGGTTTCCATGTAAGAGACCCCAGAGACTCCAATATCCGTTAATTAACGAATATATGCCTTAAACCATATTCGGGATCTTACTATAATTTAAGGTACGTATATTCCTTAATGAAGCGATGTTATTGGAGTCTCTGGGACCCTCGAAACGAAGCCCGAAACTCTGAACGCTAAGCCCTATACTTATATGAAGTCTCCATTGCAATTGATTCTTGGCTTAGCCAGTTGTGTCTTTAGGATCCTGGAAGGTATCCCCAATAAAGGAGCTATAATGGAAACTATAGGTACAAGGGGCCCCACACAACAAAAAACTGGACTTCGAAGTAACCAGGGGAACACAAGCACAGACGTTCATGCCAGAATCCTTCAAGGAACAGGTCCAACAAAAGGTATTCAAGTATGGTTTTTAAACCTTAAACCTTAAAACCCTAAATTCAAGTATGGTTTTTACATCCTTAAACCTTAAAACCCTAAACCCGAAAAAACAAATCAGCCGGCTTGCCTCGCAGAGGGCGACCCCGAACTCGACGTTGCCTTTGGCTGAGGGTTTGCTTAGGGGTGCTCAGAAATAACTTCTAATTTTTGGATATTATAATCCCTAAGAAACAGAAAAATCGTAATTTTTGCTAGGGTTTTAAGTTCAGTAGGGTTTGAAGGTTCAGTGTACGCCCGGACGGGGTCCGCTACTAACATATTTCCGCCAAAACGTTTGTCGACGATGTCAGGCCTCGATTATCCTGAACCCTTTGAACCCGGAACCTTCAAACCCTAAACTCTGAAAGCCTTACGCTCTAAAACCTTAAACCGAACCCTAAGCCCTTGAAAAGCTGACCCGCAAGCCCCAGCTTGGATCTTGAAGGGCTTAAGTGGACGACGAGTGGCCCATCTGCGCGCCCTCGCTTTTAAGCAGCCTCGGCTTCTTTTGGCGAGTCGTTTCAGATCTGGGCCTTCGGTTGTGTATGGGTTGAGAGCTCTCACCCTAAACCCTAACCCCTAAACCCCTAAACCCCAAACCCTAAACCCTAAACCCTGAACCCAAAACCCAAAAC